AAGAGAGTAAGTGATGTTTAGAGAGGGTTGGGTGCTTAACATTGAGATATTGGAGGAAGGTTATAATAATTGGAAATGCAAGGTCTAGAGTGTGACCATGAGAGTTAGTGGACAAGGTAGAGAAAAGGACTAATCACTGGCAGAGAGGAATCCAAGAACCTGAAAGTCTGGAGTTTTGGGAAAATCACCTACCTATGTTTTGGCAAAAGTGGCAGTGAACTACAAGCAAAAATTTGTCTTTGTAGGTCTGATAGAATTTGACAATGAAATCTTCTGGTCCTGGGCTTTATTTGTTGGGAGGTTTTTATTATTCTTTCAATATTGCTACTAAGTATTGGTCAGTTTGTGATTTCTATCTCTTCCTAATTCAAGCTTGGAAGGTTATGTGTTTCAAAAATTTATCCATTTCCTCTAGATTTTCTGGTTTGTGTACAAAGAGGTGTTCATAGTAGTCTTGGATGATCTTTTGTAGTCCTGTAGTATTAGTTGTAATGTTTCCTTTTTCATTTCTCATTGAGTTTATTTAAATGAATTCATTGTCTTCTTAGTTACTCTAGCTAGTAATCTATCAATTTTGTTTATCTTTTCAAAGAACCAACTTTTTATTTCATTGATCCTTCATATTGTTATTTTTAGTTTAAAATTTGTTTAGTTTTGTTATGACTTTTGTTATTTCTTGTCTTTTCCTAGCTTTGGGTTTGGTTTGTTCTTGTTTTTTGTAGTTCCTTGAGGTGTGACATTAGCTTATTTGTAACACTTTTGTCTTTTTAATGTAGGTATTTAGTGCTGTGAATGCCCCTCTTAGCACTGCTTTAACTGTATCCCAGAGATTTTGATAGCTTGTGTCTTTGTTGTGATTCAATTCAAAAAATTTTTGTGATTTCCCTCTTGCTTTTGTCATTGACCCAAAGATCATTCAGCAACAGGTTGCTTAATTTCCATGTATAGTGTTGAGAGTTCCTTTTGTAATTGATTTCTAGTTTTATTTCACTGTGGTCTGAGAAGATATGATTTCAGTTTTTAAAAATTTGTTGAGACTTGTTTTGTGGCCTAACATATGGTCTATCTTGGAAAATGTTCTTTGTGCTGATGAGAAGAATGCACGTTCTACAGTTTCATCTTTTAGGTCCATCTTCTAGAGTCCCATTTAAGTCTAGTGTTTCTTTGTATATTTTCTGCCTTGAGGATCTGTCTAGCTATGTCAGTGGAATTTTGAAGTCTCCCACTATTATTATGTTATTGTTTATTTCTTTCTTAGGTCTAGTAGTATTTGTTTTATGACTCTGGGAGCTCCCTTACGTGCATATATATGTAGGATTGATGTATCTTCTTGTTGAATTGATCCATTTATGAACATATAATGACTGTCTTTGTCTTTTTTTACTATTGATGATTTAAAGTCTGTTTTATCTGATATAAGAATGCCTGCTTCTGCTTGCTTTGGTCTCTGTTTGCATGGAATATTTTTATCCAGTCCTTTACCTTGAGTCTATGAGAATCTTTGTAAGTTAAATGAGTTTTTTGGAGACAGCAGATATTTGGGGGGTGTGTGTGTGTGTGTGTTTTCTTTTACCCATTCTGCCAATTTACATCTTTTAAGTGGGGCTTTTAGACTGTTTGCATTCAATGCTAATATTATTATAATATGGGAGATATTGTTCCAGTCATCATATTGCTTGTTACCTAGTTGCTTTATATTCTCCCTTGTGTTACTGTTTTGTAAGAATTGTGTTTTTACTTTTGAGTATTTTAAACTTGTGAGTATTGACCATTCTTTTTGATCTTTAAAGCACTTTTGAGCATTTCTTGAAGGGCAGGTATAGTGTTAACAAATTCCCTTACTGTTTGCTTTTCTGGGAAAGACTTTATTTCTCCTTCACTTATAAAACTTTGTTTTGCAGGATAATTCTTGGCTGATAGTTATTCTATTTAAGAAGACTAAATATAGGACCCCAATCCTTTCTGGCTTATAAGGTTTCTGCTGAGAAGCCTGCTTTTAGTCTGGTGGGTTTTCCTCTGTAAGTTACTTTATGCTTTTAGCTCACAGCTTGTAGGACTTTCTCCTTCACTGACTTTGGCAAGTCTGATGACTATGTACCTTGGTGATGTCCTATTTGCAATGAATTTTCCAGGAGTTTGATGACTTTCTTTTATCTAGATGTCTAAATCTCTAGCAAGACCAGGGAAGTTTTCTTCCATTATTCCCTTAAATAGATTTTCAATGCTTTTTACTTTATCTTCTTCTTCCTCAAGGATTTCTCTTTTTTTCATTGATACCTTTTTCTTTAGTATTGGTTGACTAGGTTAATGTCTTCAAGCTCTGAGATTCTTTCTTCTGGTTGCTCTAATCTGCTTTTAAAACTTTCTGCTGTATTTTGTAATCCCCTAAATGAGTCTTTCATTTCCAGAAGTTCTGTTATTTAAAAAAAAAATCTGTCCCTCTGGTAAATTTTTCATTCGTGTCTTCAATTACTTTTTTGGTTTTCTTATGTTGGTTTTTCACTTTCTCTTAGATCTCATTGATGTTACTTGTGCTTCATATTTTGAGTTCATTATCTGACATTTAAAAATTTTTTTCAGTTGAAGTCCCTTGCTAGAGAGCTAGTGTGATCCTTGAAGGGTGTCTGTTTTTTTCATACTGCCAGAGATCTTGCACTAATTCTAATTCCTTCTCATCTAGAGAAGCTGTTCACTTTTTGTTTTTGACTTTACTTTTGTTTAGATGGCACTTCCCTTCACCCCTCTTATGGGTTTGACTGCAGTGCATGTTAGATAAGGACCTTTGGCTTTGTTTGTGGGTACTTTCAGATGGGCAAAGCTCTGATTAAATTTCTTAGCAACAGATAGATTTAATGCGGTGGTTTTCCTCAAATGCTAATTATTTTAGAATATATTGGCAATGCACTATCTGTGTGAAGAGGTTCCCTTCCTCCAAGAAAGAGAGGTGGCTGTCTCTAGAATCATATCTCTTTCCCAAGCCCTGTGTGCTTCTAACAGAAGGATTATGTTGGGATGTCCATTTTAGTCTCCAGGCCAGTAGGTGGTGCTTGCAGGTAAGAGTCTGCTGAGCTCTGTATGATTGAGTCAGCAAATGATCAAATGGGTTGTACAAGTTGACTTCCATGCCAGCAGGTGGTGCTGGCAGGAGAGAGCTAGATGTGTTCTTGTTTGTGAGACCTATGCCTGACTCTACTCTGGCAGAAGAAGCACTCAGAGTCCCAGACACTGGGCAGGACCCTGTAACTCCCAGGGGGCCCTTCTTGTGATCCACCACCACCCAGGTTGATGGAAGGGGCAAAGCCAGATGCTGGCTCGGTCAGGCAAATCCATGTCCAGACTCCCCAAGGGCTAGCACAAATGCTGTCCCAGTGGGGGTCAAAGGTCACTTCCCATGCTGCTGGAGGAAGCCTCTGTGGAAGATGGTGAAGATGCCCCCTCCAAGCCAAAGCACCTGCCCATGGAGCAGGAGCAGTCCAGAATGCACAATCTAGCAGGCAGAAGTGGGGTTCAAGTTGCTCCCCGTCTCCTGACCCAGTGACTTTCCCTCTAGCTTCTGGCACTGACAGCCAGCCAGCCAAACCAGCCAGGCCAGTCAAAGGTCGACAGCCCTCAGGCAGACTAGCTGGACCAGACTGCGAACCTCCCCAGCCGGGACAGACAGCATGGGTGCAGCTGCTCAGCGGGGACGGCTGTCCCGTGCATGAACTGTGGCACCACACGGTCCTCTCAGTGCTGCCTACGTGGCTCCCTCCCTACCAGAGATCAGTTCCCAAGTTTCCTCTCAATGTCCCCACATGACACAGTCAAGTCCTGGGAGTATGGGAACAGGCCCTCAAACCTGTTCTTAGAATCTCCAAGTCCAAGCGAGTGCCCACCCTGACCAGGAGTTGCAGGCTGTACATGGCTGCCCAAGTGACTCAAGCCAGCCACTTGGGGTATCCAGGGTTTGGAACCCTGCTGAATCTCCACCTGAGCTCCCCACAGCACTCTGGAAGCCTGGGGTGTCAAGGAACTCCTCATTACTCAAAACTAAAGGTTCCAGTTGACAGTGTGGGGTCCCCAAAGTCTTCTGCTTGTCCCTTCTCTGGGTCCCAGGCAGGGGGTCTCAAGGCACTCAGGAGACCCATGCTGTGTGTCTGTCTTCTAACATCAACCCGATGTCCCATTGCCTCTCTGTTATCTTCATTCTTTCTCCCTCTGACGATCTGTTCGAAATATGTTTTTTTATGGATATCGTGGTTGTTCTCTGGAGAAGAGGCAAATGCCTGCTGCCTCTATTTAGCCTTCTTGTCCCCAACTCTAGGAAATAACTGTAAAACGCATTGCTCTCCTTGAATTGATGCTAGGAGTGAACATAATCTTTATTTGCTAAATCACTTGTGTAGAGTTAATATCTTTTGCGTATTGGTAGAATCCAGAGGTCATAAAACTCTTATTTTTTCAAGTTTTTATTATATTATTGATTTATTTGTTAAATTTTCTAGGAATATAATAGTAAATTTCCAAAGTGCTTTATTTCTTACCATTTTGTGACAGTTATATAGAAACTACACATGTATATATTGATAGTACTACCTCATTGTCTACTCAAAGTTAAATGTTAAAACCAGGACCCTACTTTGCAGAGAACACAAACAAACATTACTTTATTTTTTAGTCAAGTATAAAGATGTATCATATATAAAAGCCTGAATACTTTTGATGACAAAATCATTAAGTATAAAGTGTACAGTAACTACATACATGAAATTTACCATATAGTAATTTACATTTATATTTGGTTCTCCTTATATGTATGTTAAGATCTATTTTTAAGCGTTATGTCAGTTTAATATGTGTAAATATCATACTTAGTGATATTTTAAGTAAGTTATCTCAATGTTATGGTGAATAATTAAATTTTAGGGATTTAGGTAGATTGGAATCAGATATTATAGTACTATCAGAGATTATAAAATAAATTTTAAACTTGAAAAAAGTCAATGCAATTCAGCGACATAGTACTAAATGTATTTTGAGTCTAGGGTTGTCATCAAAGAGTTGTGTGACCATATGCTTTGTCCTATGGTTTTTTAATCACTTTACAAAAAAGGCATTCCTCTCCCATTTGTTAAAAGGTAAAAAGATTTATTTAAAGATCTGTATGTTTCCGAAACTGGGTAGAATTTTATTTTTGGCTCACACAATAAATGATCTGCAACTGATCTCTTTTGTTTCTCATTAAAAAAGTGTTTAGAAATTTCTTAGCTTAAAAAAAAAGTTTGTTTAAATGAAGTTGCCAAATCCATGTTTATAATGAATGTCTACCTTTTTGCCTCTGAATCAAAGACATTGAAATTAGTCCCTCTGAACATAGTAGATTCAAGCTTATACAAAAAGAAAAAAAAAAAATGCAGAGATCAGAGTCCGTATATTCTCCGGGTTATATGCTTGAGTGAGATCAGGACACCATCTCCCTCATCACTCCAATCCTAAGGGCTGTTGTTTCTCCCCCTAGAATGGACTCAATGCTCTCCATCTGGCTGCCAAGGAAGGCCATGTGGGCCTGGTTCAGGAGCTGCTGGGAAGAGGGTCCTCTGTGGATTCCGCCACTAAGGTAATATTCTTGCAGGTAGAATTTATTTTCCTTAGGAAAGAGGATATGATTTAAAGCTTCATTTCCCAGTTGTACATTTCAGAGGTTTGGTGGAACACCAAGATTCTTAACTCACAGAACTAAAATTGAAACCCTCTCCATTAAACTTTGCAGAGCTTGAATTGTTTGGTTTAAGGACTTATCAGACACGAGGCTGTAGAAATCTATAAACCTAGTTTCTAATATTTGGTCTTTCCTTCTTTGATTCACAGAGAGAACTAGATTGACATAATCCTCTGTGGGCAATAGCATTTATTTTCCCAAGGGTACTTTGTCATTTCTAAATAAATTGATGTGGTAAACTTTTAAATGGAAACAAGTATTTTCATGCTTCGGTTCTATTGATGTATCTTTTAATGTATTCATTCAGTTTGGTATGAGGATATACAGAGTCCTTTATACCCTAATGCAAAGGAGATTTTGGATCATGGATTGAATTATTAGGGTAAAAGTAGACTTTATCACTCTCATGTGTGTTTGCAAAGAAATTGGACTCATTTTTTAAAAAATGTACAAGAAGCTTGGTACACTAGGAACTGTTACTCCCCCGTTGATGCTGCTTTTGCTAAAATGTATTCAAACCTCTCAGGGATTCATTTCATAAACAACAGATATTTTAAAAAGTATTACCAATAATGACAAATCTTTGTCTTTTGAAGGTGAAATTTTTATTTGGAAAAAATACAGTATCTAATCAGAGCCAAGCCTGCTGCCCAGGACTGGAATGTGATTATATGATCGTGGGAAATGCAGAAGTCAGTTACTCAAGCCTCTGGCTGGGGCTTTAGTTCAATCAGGAGTAAACAAAAAACAACATGGGAATGAATTAGAAATATGACCAGTTAACCTGCATTTCCAACACCTCACGCATAACTGCCAAAGTGTACATTGATCCTGCTTATAGCATAGTAAACAGCAATTCTAGCAGAAATTAAGAAACAAAAACAAATAAACAACTCTCTAGCAATTCCAAAGAAGTTAAAATATACATTCACCATATGCAATAAATTTCTTACTTGGAACATAAAGACAGAGTAAACATTTTAATTAACATTTCTCTTAAGCACATCAAATAAGTGTTGAACAAATATCTAGAACAAACTCTATTTGAATATAGATCAAATTATTTGCCTCCCCTGATTTGCTCGTGTTAATATAGTATATTCATTAAACCAATCACTTTTTGATTGCTTAAGTGTTTACTCTTGTTTTTGTTTTTCCTTTCTTTGAAACTCTATTGATGTTTTAAAACATAGCTTTGCTTTTAATCGTAGATTGATGTTGTGAAATTTTCTAGAAGAGAATCTCATTGACAAAGGAGGAAACTGAGCCCCCCAAATACAACGTTCATGGCTAATGGCCCTACAGTGGGCTAGAAGCAGAAAGAGAACTAGAGTCCAAATTCTATGGCTTGCAATCTATAGGTTTCTGTTTGTTTTTCATTTTTTTTCTTTTTGTTATTTATTTCAATCACTTCATAGGTATATTTAATCTCTTGGCCTATATTTTATTTTCACAAAATGTTTAAATTATTTTCATTGGTGATTGGTGCTGTGGAAGGTAAATTTTAATAGCAAATGGTGGAAATTACTGGTGACATTCTGACTCATGTAAAATTTATTTTTTTATTGTCAAAATATTTTGAGCAACAACCACATGCCCTAGTGACTGGAAACACAACTGTGAGCAAAGTTATTTTCTTTACCACTGAAAATCTCTAGGTTTTCTTTGCAAGGTGAAATAAATTCAATGTTTCAGTAAAGTTTTTTTTCTTTTAGCTAATATTTCCTTGCAGGAGGACTCTTTAGTTATTGCTTAAATCCCATGAATTTCATGAGATATTGGTCTCACACACACACATATATGCACCCCCAAATTTTTTGGTTCATTAAGAACTCAGTTTTTCTATATTCTCAACATTACACCAGTATTGTGAAAGATAAAAAGGGAGACACTATATGAGATGGTCAACTTTTTTGATGGTAAAAAAAAATAACCCCTTCATGAATGGGCTACTGTCTTGATAAAATGACAAATTTTAATCAGTTGAAGCAATCAGCAAATAAAAATGCCTGCATACTCATACTTTGGTTTCTACAAAATTCAGAAACCTCTAATGTTTTCTATTTTGTTTCTCCAAAACAGAAAGGCAATACTGCTCTTCACATTGCGTCTTTGGCTGGACAAGCAGAAGTTGTCAAAGTTCTTGTTAAGGAAGGAGCCAATATTAATGCACAGTCTCAGGTATTATATTCAGATTTTCTCTAATGTAAAGCAGTTTAAATTAGAATAGTTTCATGAAGTTGATTTAATGGGTTTAACTGGCTGTTAGTCAGGTAAATTTATTTAAAATGTTTCTGTTATTTATTTTAGCCAAATTATTTTATTAACTCGTACAATGAAATTTATTTTTCGACATATCATAATCTCCTTTTAAATGTAACTGCATACTTGACAAATGTAATATCACTATCTTTATGTATTTTTTTAAAGACTATAGAGTGATTTTTTCCAGAGTATCAACCACATCTGTGAAATATGAATTATTCATGCAAGTTCCACGTGGCTCTATAAAAGTATTTTCTCTCCTTAAATTTTAAAAATTTTGTAAAGCTTAGCATTCTGGTAGGAAATCTGCAATACCATGGGAGTTATATTGCTTTGCTTACTTTACACCCCAAATGTGAGCTTAACTGACAGAAAAGAGACCAAGAGTGAACCCCAAACTATTTATATCGAGACCCTTTAGACAGATCAGAGACGTGCAACTTCACGTTTCTATGTGTTTCAACTTCACATACTTCTATGGTCTGTGTAGTTCTCCAGAGTAATACAAATTTTTCATCCAATATTTTAATATTTTAAATGATACGTTTAAATATGTAAATAAATTCCATAGATTTAATTTAAATTAAATTTTAATTTTTGTCTGGTATATTTCCTCTGGAAGCAGCTTAATATTCCTAGTTGGATAATTTAAAATTTTTTTTATTAAACCCAGATTAAATAGATTAATAGATTTAATTTACATTTTACTAATTCTTTAAACTTACCCTACTAGGAATATCAGGCTGCTTCCAGAGGAAATATTCCAAAAACTACTGCAAACATCAGTTTTCTCATTAAAGCCAGTAACATGAAAAGGATTCTTCCTAGTGATACTATCCAACATTGTACTCTAGGCCTAGCCAATACAATGAAAAAAGAATATAAATGGAAAAGAAATAGGCAAAATGCTGTATACAGAAGATATGATTATTTAAAAAGACAATCCAAAAATATCTACAAATCAATTATTAAAATATTTTTTACATTCACTAATTTATTAATAGCCTGCTGCCTGCAAAACTCTATACCAAGTGTCACAGAGTTGTCCTTTCATGGTATTTGACTAAAATTTTCTTCAGTCCAAAGGTTGTTTTCTTTTTAAATTTACTTGCTTTATGATTTTTTAAGCATTCATTTGCTTTCTCATTTTGTGTTTATAAATCTAAAGACATAAACGATAGAATTATTAATTCATGGCTGAACAATTTAACGAGGTATTTATTCATGTTTGCAAAGTGAAACATAGAGATAAAAGCATTTTGGGGTTAGGTGAGAGTCAATAAAGTGTCTTTATTAGCCACTTTAACTTTTTTGTAGAATGAGGTCTATAATTCGTCTGTTAAATTTAAAATTTAAAGTTGGGTAAAGGAGAAAAGCTCAAGCCTAAGTCATCTGTAATCGTCAGGAACTGAGGGGGAAAAACTGAAAGTAAACAGTTAGTCAGTCTATAAGTATTTCCCTGGTGTTTACTGTGTACTCATCACAGTGCTGATTTCTGTGGAGGATTCCAATCGTGTAAGACAGGAAGCTGCTTTCAAAAAGTGTGCAGGCTGCACCCAAAGTCAGGACCAACACACAGGAAACAAAGGCAAACAACAGAAGACAGTATATGATTTGGTATTAAATTGTAATGGAACAGGCTATATACTAAAGAGGAAGATTGGAGTTGGCTAAACACTGTAAATGAAATTCTTGCAGGACTTGAGCTGGGCATTGACAAGTAGATAACGTCTACAGACAGGAAAATAAAAGGGAAGACGTTCCAGGTGGGAAGATCAGTAACAACAGTGTTAGGAGGTAGAATTGACCATGATGAGTGCAGAAGTATGGGCAAGACAAGCTGGTATTAAAACATCAGAATATGTATTAAAAGTTTGTGTTTTTCACACAACTTACTGAGTAAAATAGGGCAAGGGTGTAAAAGGTCTTGATCTTCAGTCATTGTGTATGAGAACTGACCTCCCCATTCACAGTTGGTAACATGATAATATAGAAATGTAGTTTGTTGAAAACATATTTTTAGGAATATTAATTCAGGTTGAGGCATAGGATGCACTGGAGTTAGTAACTTGAAATAGGTAAAATAGTTCAAATGATTTCCTGGTAATTTATCCATGCAACGCTGAAAGCAGGGATCATGGTAGACCCAGTGGAATACAGAATTCTCAGTGGTATTTCTGATTGCTAGAAATACCCTGACATGATATAATACCACCTGTGGAATTTGCTGTTAAAGCACATGGCAGAATAGTGTAATCGAAAGAACATGAACTTTAGAATTAGTATATGTAGGTTCAAATCCCAGCTCCATGTTTTGTTTTGTTTTTTTTTTTCCAGCTCCATGTTTTAAGTACTGTGAAACTTTATCCTTGTGAATATTAATTTCCTTGAGTCATATAAAGTATTGCACTGGACCGTTAGGGTTAAATAACAAATATAAAGTGTTTAGCCTTCTCTCTCCTCACTAATACTACCCAAATTTCTTACCTACTGAAAATAAAAAGTGGAAGGATTCTTATGCCTAAAAAAGCACTTGGACTTTCTTCATCAAGCGAGTCATGGCAAAAGGCAGAACTTCCCTGCTCATTCCTGGTGAATGTCTTAGGAAAAGATATAAGAAGGCTAATTGTCCAACTACTATATAAGGTGAACAGTTGTACAGGTGTTCAGATACAGGTGTTCTCTGAGGAGATTTGATCCTGTTTGGAGAGGACAGCAGAAGGGGACGGAAGGAACACTGAGTTTGGCGCCCTCTAGGGTTCAGATCTCAGTTGCACCACATGGTGTGTCCTTGGGTGAATGACATGAGCCACAGTCTCATCCCTAACAGGTGCCTAAGAGTATAGTTGCGGGCATGAAACAAGATGACACAGTAAACCCTACATAAAATTTAACCTCCCTAGAAAGATTCAGGACATTAATCATTTCAATGTCATTTGATAGTTTAGCTCTAATCTTTTAAAGAGGACCTTTGGAAAGAGGAAGGTGGTTAAAATAACTCATAACATCCTAACCCAGACTAAAAATTGTGAAGTTCAGATTATATGAGAAAATTTATATGACATTTTAATTAATAAAATGCCTTCTCAACTACCAAATGAGTATATAATCGTGCCTTTTGTTCTTTTGCCCTAAGTACATCCCCAGAGTACACAAAGTAGTCTTTATTTTTGTGACTACAATTAGTACCATTGGTTTTTTACATCCTTTGCAGCTGTGCTTTCATGATATATTTAGGGGAATCATTTGAATCATCCTGACCTTAAAGCTTGGTGATAAATTTGGGATGCTTCCCAACTTTGTCTCTATAATGCTAACTCAAAGGAAGAAGATGATGCGTAGTATCTGGGATGGTAACTAGAGTAGTATCTCCTAACTAGTGCTGACTGGTTCTGATGAAAAGCCTCCTAGTGTGTTATGGTTAAAGCTGCTGAAGAATTCTGTTCTTTGAAACAACTTAAATTTTGACACTGACCTACCTACAAAAAAAACAGGAGGCTTCTTCAAAAGGGGAATTCTCCTTTTACTAAGTTCAAACCCAGATCTGTCTCTAACCATTCTCACTTCCCACAGTTGAAGCTGGTTGTGTGATTTATTGACTATGTTTTCCAGTAGATATACAGAGTATATGTCATGCTCTCAGAAAACGGAAAATAACACATAGAATTAAGTAAGGGTACTATTAACATTTAGAGCTGTAGTTTTCAAACTTCTTTGGACTGTAGATTGCTTCATCTAGACAAATATGCACAAGTTACCTACTCCATCCATTTCTTATTAATGCAAAGACCTAATCTTTTCTGATTTTGTGACACCCTATCAAGAAGGGTAACACACGACAATAGCTGGTTCATCATAGTGTTCTCAGACACTGATAGCTCTTAAAACTCAACATTCTCCAAGAAGGATCCCTGCTGTAGTTCCTTGGAACACAGTACAGTTTAAAGAACATTGTCTGGGTAGTTTGGTGAAGCAGAAGATATCGCTGAAAAGTTATCCCAGTCAACTTCAAAGCAGAAGTCATATTTAATCTTTTATTGTTAGGGTTTCCAGGTTAGATAGCATTTGAAGAGTCATATTACTGCAAAATATGAAAATAACTGCCTAGGATATGAATTTCTTTCCCAGAAAGAATTGAAGCAGTATAGGGTAAGAATTGTGAGAGGTATAGTTGGCAAAGTAGGTGAGCGTCAGATTATATAGAACCTTGTTGGACATTTTGTTAGTTAGCTATTGCTGCATTAGAAATTATCCCCAAGCTTAGTGGCTGAAAACAGCAATAAACATTTATTATCATCATAGTTTCTGTGAACCAGGAATTTAGCGTCGGCTTAACTGTGCAGTTAGGGCTCAGAGTCTCATGAAACTGTAATGAAGATGTTAATCAGAGCTAAAGTCATCGGAAGGCTTTTCTGGGGTTGGAAGATTCTCTCTGAAAGTGATTTTTTCACATGGTTGGCAAGTTGGTGCTAGTTGTTGGTAGGAGGGGTCAGTTCTTATGTGCATCCATAGCTGTGTGTCATCATAACACTCCTTCCTCCAGAGCAGGTGACCCCAAATGGACAGGAAGGCAGAAGGGCAATGACTTTTAAACCCTCGCCTTAGAAGTCTCATACCATCAGTTCCACTATAACCGATGCATTAGAAGCAAACTACTACAATGTCCTACATCAAGAGCAGGGGAATGAGGCTCCCCTTTTTGAAGCAAGGAGTGTCAAAGAATTTGCAGACATATGCTAAAATCGCCACAGGCATAAAAAGGAGTTTGAATTATGTTCTATTTAATTCATTCATCCACTTAACAAAAAGTTATCAAATACCCACTATGTGCTAAGCATTTCTATAAGCACCGAGTAAGGGCTCTCAGAGAGTAACCACTGTGTTGAGGCTTGAAAGATGAGAAGGGTAGGGCAAGA